GCAAGACCTGGCTTCAAGTTCTGCTTCTGACTTCCCACTGGCTAAGTGACCCTGGACAAGTAACCTATCCTCCCAGTGGCCCAGGAAACAATTGCAGAGCAATTGCCCATCTGAGTTAGTAGAGGAGGTTCCCTCACTGGGAAATCTAATAACAATTAAATCACAGGTCCATCCAAAACCGGCTTAATACATCCTGTGGAAACAGGGTTAAGTCACAGTGTGATGTATGGAAAGGGCACTCACTGGCTTTGGATTCAGAGGTCAGAGGACCTGGGTTCAAATCTTATCTCTGATGCTTACAATCTGTAAGAATTTGGGCAAGACTCTATCTCCCTGGGCCTCAGTTTCCTCATCTGTAACATGAAAGGGTGGCCTCCGAGGTCCATTCCAGTCCTAGATCTGTGATCCTAAGTCACTAAACCTCTCTGGACCTTAGTTTCCTCATTTATAACACGAAGATAATACTTGCTTTTCCTGACTGGGAGAAATCGTCATGCTCATTGTTAGCTCCCATTTTTGCAGGCCTTCAAGGTTTTCGCAGAGCTGACACCCATCCTAAATTGGTATCTCTCTATCTCTCTATCTTTCACCCACTCTTCCTAGTTCTGCTCTGGGGCCAAGCAGAAGTCAGATCCCTCTGATACTTGATATCCCTTAAAGACAGTTCTCACTTTTCTCTCCCCTACCCTCAAGTCTCTTCTTCATTCCAGAAAGCTCCAGTTCCTTTCGCCATCCTCATGCTGCGTGGCCTCGAGGCCCTTCATTATCATGGTCATCCTCCTCTGGGGGCTCTCCAGCTTGTTCCACATGTGCTACCCAGAACTGGACAGAGTATTCCAGGTGGATCCAGGTGGGGCAGACCACAATGGGTTTCATGCTGATGCTGTGTTTTTCATTCTCGCTGATTCATGTAAAGGCACTTTCAGGCTTTCCAGTGACCTCAAATCCAACTCAGGCCACAAATTAAAATGTCTTCTCTGTATAAGGATGCAGTCAAGTGGATCAGCACAGCTGATGGGAGCATGGCCTAGAAGCTGGATTATACGGCTCATCTGGATGGGTCTGTTGGTTGGGCTCCTGGAAACCATGGATGAGAATCATGGGGACCATAAGATCTCGATTTGGAAGGGACCTCACAGCTCATCTAATCTGACCCTTTCATTTTACGGAGAAGGCAATTGAGGCCCTGAGAGATCAGTCTTGTCCAAGGCTATTCAGGTAGTAAATGGCTGAGCTGGGACTCATCACCAGGCACTTCGATCCAAAGTGTGATTACCAAATCATGGATGCAGAGTTGGAAGGCACCTTAGAGTTCATCTAGTCAAACCCTCTCATTTTATAGGTGAGGAAACTGAGGCACAGAGAAAGGAAGTGACTTGCCCAAAGGTAGTAAGTGGCAGAGATGAGATCTAAACCATGGTCATCTCTTGCCAAATCCAGTACTCTTTCTGCTAAATTATATTTTCCACTCAAATCAATGAACACACATTAATTAAGCATCTACTATGTGCTGGACCATACCCAGTAGTCCCGGGTACAAAGATGAAAGCAAGATAATCCCTTCCTTCAGTCAATCAGTCAGCAAGCATTAACTGCTTACTGTGCGCCAGGTACTGTGCAAAGTGCTGAACATACAAAGAAAGACAAACACAGCCCCTGCCTTTGCATTTGAGTAGAGGAAACAACATATATGTAACCAGGTAGCTACATCACAGAATAGATGGAAGGTGATCTAACAAAGGAAGGCCCTCGCAGCTGGGGAGACTAGGAAAGGCCTCCTGAAGACAATGGGATTTAAGCTGTCTTGCTATTATACTGACATCGCCGCCGTACACCGTCTTGCCCCTTGCCACATTTGCACATGTGAATAGTCAAATTGTGGACTAGTACAGGGAGCACTGCTTGGTGTTTAATTAGCAGCTGCTCCTGGGTGTTAGACTATCTGCAGCTCACCTAGAGTGGGAAGAGAAAAGATCTCAAAGTAATAGGTAGTGGGGAGAGCTCTGCCTTGCAGGTAGAGTCCCTCTGGATCATGGTGAAGCCATGGTGGCGGACGTGCTTGCTGACCCGCCCAGGACATGCCTGTCTTGGCCTAGGAAGGGAGGATCTAGATTCTCTGACCAAATGGGGACATTCTTCTGAAACATTAGCAGTCAACTTTTAGAGCAGGGAGTCCAGAATGGCCCCTTCTTGTCTTTCTGACTTACTCCCCTTCCTCCCACCCTCAAGAGAAGCCAATAGCATCCCTAGTGATGGGAAAAGGCTAGACTCCAAGGCCAGAAGGCCTGAGCTCAATCCCCCCATCATCCATATAGTAACCATGTCTTTGGGCATGCCATGACCTCTCTGGGCTCCAATTTTCTTTTTAAAAAATGTTTTATTGACATCTTTTTGCTTTTACATCACCTTCATTTCCGAGTATGCCCCTCCCCCTCCCCTACTAACAAGACATTCCTTGTAACAATGGATAAAAATTGGGAGGGGGGAGCAGTTCAGCAAAACTAACAAATCAACACATCGACCACGTCTGGCAGTGCATGCAGTATAACCCACCCATCGTCCCCTGCCTTTGGAGGGAGGTACCTTTTCTCAGCTCTCCTCTTCGGGCCAACCATGGCCATTATAATTGCGCAACATTGCTCTTTTCATGTACATTGCTGTAGTCATCATGTATACTATTTCTAGTTCTTCCTCAACTTTCCATGTTTCTCTGAATTCTTCATAGTGGTTTTTACAGTGTGATGGTATTTCATGGAACTCATGGACTACATCTTGTTCCCTAATTGAGGGGCATCTACTTTGTTTCCAGTTCTTGGCTACTATAAAAACCGTTTCTTTAAATATTGTGGCATACATGGGGGCCTTACTTTCTTTCTATCTTTGACTTCTTTGGGGTATATGCCCAACATGGGATCTCTGGATTAAAGTGTATCTCTAGTTCAGTTACCCTTTTAGCCTAATTCCAAACTGCTTCCCCAAATGGCTGGACAGTTTTAATTTTCTCGTATGCAAAATGAAGTGTTTGGGCTAGGTGGTCTTTAAGGTCCCACTGAGTCTCCATGACCTCTCTGAGCCTCAGTTTCCTCATCTGTAAAATGGGGATCATAATGCTTACACTACTTACCTGTGGGCTTGTTGAAGAAAGTGCTTTTGCAAACCTTAAATTGCAAAAGTGAGAGCTGTTTATCATTCCTTTGATTTTTTTTGGCCCCACCAACCTCATGTTCCTCTCCTCCCCAACTTGGTCTCCCAATCAGAGTCAGGCTGCTCTCCATATAGAGTTCCTTGTACAAAATCTTCACTCTAGCCTCCATGCCTTGGTTTGTGCTGGGTCACCCACCTCGAATGTCTTCTTTCCTCCTCCCTTTTGGAAGATAACTCCTGTTTTCCCTCTCTTTTAAAAGAGGGCTTCCCCTGACTGAAATCATTCTGTTACTTCTTTCCTTCTGTATGGACTTTTCATGGTTGGTCCATTTAGGCATTTAGTCAGTCAATGAGTATTTATTAAGCACTTACTGTGTGCCAGGCACCGTGCTAAGTGCCGAGGATACAAAGAAAGGCAAAAACAACTAACTGTCCCTGCCCCTGAGGAGCTCACAGTCAACTAGGGGAGATATCACCTCAATAGCTAGGTATGTAAAGATACATACAAAGAATATGGGAGGTATTCTGGGAGGGGAAGGCACTAGCATTGTGGGGGCAGCCTAGAGAAGGTGGGATTGGAGCTGCATCTTGAAGGAAGCCAGGGGAGTCAGGATCCCAAGGGGAGGAAGGAAGAATAGTCTAGTGGTAGCAGATAACCAATATAAAGGGCTGGAGGTGGGAGACGAAGGGTCTTGGGTGAGGAAAAGCAAGAAGGTGAGTGTAGCTGGATTGTAGAGTGTGCAGATAGGTGTAAGGTGTAAGAAGACCAGAAAGGCAGGAAGGGGCTTTGGGTGTCAAACAGAGGGGGTCACATTTGACTCTGGAGCTGCTACAGAGCCATTAGAACTGTAGAAACAGTGGGGGTGACACTGTCCGATTGTTTGACAGTTGAGTGGGGAGTGGGCTAGCGTGGGAGGGTCTTGAGGCAGGGAGACCAATGAGGGTCTCTAAGTGAGAGGTGGTAGAGATTTGAATCAGGGAAGTGAATATATTAGTGCACATCTAATGTGATCTTTGCCTTCATGGAGTCCAGAATGTGGAAAGCTCTGAGAAAATATGGGTTTAGGATTATAAACTTTAGTACTGAAAGGGACCGCAGAGTTCATCTAATCCAATCCCTTTGTTTTACAGAAGAGGCAGCTGAGGTACAGAGAGTGGAAGGGACTTGTCCAGTATCAGACTGGCAATAAGGTGGCAGAGCTGTGGTAGAATGAATATGGGGTTCAGATCCTTTCTCTGGTGCTTAATTTATCTGTGTTTAGGTAATAATAATAACAACAACAATAACTAGCATTTATATGGCACTTTACATTTGCCAAATGCTTTACACATATAATCACAACAAGCCTATGAGGTAGGTGCTATTAATATCCCCATTGTACAGGTGAGAAAACTGAGGCTGAGAGAGGTTTAAGTATACACACAGCTGGCAAATGTCTGAAGCAGAATTCAAACTTAGCACTTCAAGTCCACTGTTCTATTCAACATGCCAATTAGCTGCAGCTTTGAACCTCAATTTCCTCATCTGTGAAATGGGTTTAAAAATACTTACAGGTATCAGCCTCACAGGTGTGTGTTATGGGCAAGCGTTCCATAAACCTTTAAGCAGCAGAGTCAGGATTCAAAGCCAGGCCCTCAGATTCTAACAGAAATAACTCCTAGTTACTATGCCAGCTGCCTTTCATAGAAGGCAGTTAAAACGGGAGTTTTCCCTGAGGGCAAGGGCCCGGTCTGTTCTTTCTGTCCATCCCTGCTCAGGGCCCTCCGCCCACAGTGCCTGCTGTAGTCCCGAAGCCACATCCAGTCCTCCAGAAATGAACCCATGGATGAAAAGAACATGCCAAACCGCTGACCAATAGGGGAAAATGGTTTCGTTTCTTTTAATTAAACTGACCGAGGAAGCCAAGACACAGACAGAAAGAGACTGAGAACAAGACTTGGAAATAGTTTTAGAAAAGAAATGAAACCCGACCGATGGACGGAGATGTGGATGGCAGATGGAGCCACCGAGAGGACGGGGGTCCCGGGCCTTCACGTCAACTCAAGGATCACTGTGAGGGCGAACACCCAAGTCAGCCTGGCCCCCATGGGGCTTGGAGCCGAACCTGCGGAAACACAGGGAGGCGAGAGTTAATGTTTGGGATCAGCCTAGATGGACATTTTGTGTCTCCTGCTGCACCAGATGCAGGGAAGTGGCTGGCATTCCATTCACCAGTCAAGTCATCAGCTTAGAGCTTGGAGGGATCTAAGAGGTCATCAAGTCCAACCCTCTCCAAGGTCCTGATTGGAGAGTGACTTCCCCAAGATCACTAGGCAGAAAGTGGAAGAGCTAAGATTTAAACTGAGGTTCTCTGACTCTTTCCTCTTCCCTTCCTCTCTCTCCCCCACCTCTCTCCTTTCCCTTCCTTCTCTCCATCTTCCTCCCCCCTCCGTTTCTTTCTCTCCCCCATTCTTCCCTTCTCCCTCTCTTTCCTCCTTCCTCTCATCTCACCCTCTCCCTCTTTCCCTTCTCTCTCTCTCTCTCTCTCTCTCTCTCTCTCTCTCTGTCTCTCTCTCTCTCTCTCCTTCCCCTTTTCCTTCCTCTCTCCCTCTTTCTCATTCCCACCCTCTCTCCCTCTTTGTCTTTCCCCTCCCACTCTCCTCTCTTTTTCCTTTCCTCCCTCCCTCTCTCTCCTCCCTCCCTTCTCCTCTCCTCTCTTCTCTTTTTCTCCCCCTTTCCTCTCTCCTCTCTCCCTTCCTCCCTCACTCTTTTTTTTTCTTGGCTAGGCAATGGGGTTGTGACCTGCTCAGGGTCACATAGCTAGTAAGTTTTATGTGTCTGAGGCAGGATTTGAACTCACATTCTCCTGAATCCAGGGCCGGTGCTCTATCCACTGCACCATCTAGCTTCCCCCTCCCTCACTCTCTATCCCCCCTCTCCTCCTCCCTCTCTTTCCTCCCTTTCCCTCATCCCTCTCTGTTTCATTCCCTTTGACTCTGCTTGTCTCCATTGGAAAGAGCAGTGTCTCTGAAGTCAGAGGATCTGTTCAAATCCCATCTCCAATGCTTACAAACTGTGTGACCTTGGGTAACATCTCTGGGCCTCAGTTTCCTCATCTGTTAAATGAGGGATTGGGACTAGATGGCCTCTGGAGTCCCTTTGACTATAGATTGAGGATCCTATGATTTTAAATCTAGTACACTTTCCATCACATACCACTGCTTGACATGATTTAATTTCATTTAATTTCCAGTCAAACAAATAGAGTTGGGACAGTGTGTTTTTCTGAACTGTCTAGTTTCTCCTCCCCTCCTTCAGTGTGGATAATTGGGGCAGGTCTGTATATAAAAAGCTATCAGGAGTCACCTCATTCACTGTGTGAAACAACCTAGAAGGAATTAAAGACATTTGATTAAAATTTAATTAGGGATGGCATTCGAGGCTGTTTGATTTGCTGTTGCACTCAGGCTGTAAAAAGAAAAAAAGATTCCCCTCTAGAGAGCACCTTTCATCTACACTCTCCAAACACCTCATTTCACTAGAATTGGAGATAAGAGGAACCAGGACAGGAGGCTGAGAAGGTGCACAGCCACCGGCTGCATACAAACCTAGCTGATGCAGAGGACACGTCCCAAACCTTGTCTGTCCCACAGTCTTCTGTAGCTCCCTATAGCTTACTGAGGAAAGTGAAAATCCTTTTTCTTGGTGTTCAAGGCCCACACTACAGTCTGGTTCCAAACTAACTTTCTTTCTTTCTTTCTTTCTTTCTTTCTTTCTTTCTTTCTTTCTTTCTTTCTTTCTTTCTTTCTTTCTTTCTTTCTTTCTTTCTTTCTTTCCTTCTCTCTCTCTCTCTCTCTCTCTCTCTCTCTCTCTCTGTCTCTCTCTCTCTCTCTCTCTCTCTCTCTCTCTCATATGGGTTAAGTGACTTGCCCAGGGTCACACAGCTAGTAAGTATCTGAGACTGGATTTGAACTCAGGTCCTCCTGACTCCAGGGCTGATGATTTATTCACTACACCACCTAGGTGACCCCCAAACTACTTTTCCAGATTTATCTTAATTTAGCTACATGTTTCAGTGTTTTGTGGCCAAACTAGGCAGCTCGTCCTCTCCCCCAAATGCCCTGTGATCTCCCCTCTCTGGGTCTTTGCTCCTCACAAGGCTCTCCCTCTCCCTCTTCACCTGTTTTGATTCTACACATCTAACCTACCCAAGGTCACACAGGTGCTTAGTAGTAGAACCTGTCTCTACCTGAGTCTCTGTATGAATACATATGCGTATGTATAAGCAATGGCATTAGTGGATGGAGAGATATGTGCTTGGTGGCAGGAAGACCTGAATTAGAATCCCCAGTCAGATACTCTCTGAGTGTGTGAGTCCCTTAAGCGCTTTCAGCCTCAGTTTTCCCATCTATAAAATGGGGACAATAATACCGCCTACCTTCCAGGGTTGTTACGAGGCTCAATGGAGTTAATAAATGTAAAGCATTCTGCAAACCTTTATGAGCTATGTAAATGCTAGCTAGTGTTGTTATTCTTTGTCTCTCTGGCCCTTCTCTTGGGATGCTTCTTCTTCCAGACTCTCTTTCAGAGATTTCTTCTATTTGGGATGTGCAAAAGAGTGATGGGTTGGGAGACAGAAGGTCTGTGTTTAGCCTCAGGTTTTGCTGCTTTCAGCCCAGCCAGGTGAGCCTGGGAAAGTCGCTCCATTTTCTCCTCCAAAATGGAGACGGTGGATGAGACGGTTTCCAAGCTCCCTCCTGGCTCTAACTTGATGCTCCCAGGCTCCTTCTCTGTGTGTGTCTGGGGATGTGTTGGCCTTTCTCTCCGGGTTTAAGACCCACTGGGGCCAAAGAGGGGCCTGCAGAAGCAGCCAGATGGATGTGCCAGGTCCAGCAACCTCAGGGTGAGCCTGGCAGTATTTGGGGGCAAAGGCCTCCGGTTGAAGGTGTGTTATTGGGATGACGGTTGTTTCTGTAAGTTGGTAGCTGTGTGAGGCAGCTGAGATGGAGTGGAAAGAGCCTGGGCAGGAGGTAGGAGACCAAGAGTTGAGTCCTGGCTTTGATACTAATAAACAGTGTGAAAATAAGTCATTTATTTGGCTTGGATACCAATAAGCGGAGGGGAAATAGGTAATTTCCCTTCTTTGGGCCTCAGTCTTGTCACTTGTCAAAGAGGGATGGGAAATTGTACTAAATGATTACTTTTCTAAAATTCTATGCTTTAACTTTTTAAGATCCTCCCAAGTTCTGATCCTCTGTATTCTAAGGTCCCTCCCACCTCTGACGTTCTGTGTTCTGGAATTCACTATTCTGAGGTCCCCCCCAACTCTGACCCTCTGTGCTCTAAGGGCCCTCCCAGCTCTGACCCTCTGTGCTCTAAGGGCCCTCCCAGCTCTGACACTCTGTGCTCTAAGGGCCCTCCCAGCTCTGACACTCTGTGCTCTAAGGGCCCTCCCAGCTCTGACACTCTGTGCTCTAAGGGCCCTCCCAGCTCCACACTCTGTGCTCTAAGGGCCCTCCCAGCTCTGACATTCTCTATTTTTTTTGGGGGGGCAATTGGGGTTAAGTGACTTGCCCAGGGTCACACAGCTACTGTCAAGTGTTTGGTCTGAGGCTGGATTTGAACTCAGGTCCTCCTGACTTCAGGGCTGGTGCTCTATCCACTGCGCCACCTAGCTGCCCCTTCTGACATTCTATATTTTAAGGCCCCTTCCAGTCCTGACATCCTATGTTCTAATATACTCCCCAGCTGTGAGGTTCTGTGTTCTAAGGGCCTTCCCAGCTCTGACATTCTCTGTTCTAAGGGTCCTCCCAGCTCTGACATTCTATATTCTAATTTCCCTTCTAGGCCTGTCATTCTACATTCTTGCATTCTAAATTTTAAGGTCCCTCCCAGTTCTGATATTCTATGTCCTAAGGGCCCTTCAAGCTCTGACATTCTGTTCTAACATTCTGTGTTCTAAGATCCTTTCCAGCTCCTACATTGTCTATGATAATCTCTAAAGAGAGGTTCTAATCTAATCCAGTAGCTAGCCGGTCAGAGCTTTTGATTAGCCCCTGGCTTTAAAAGATGTACTCTTGAATCTGGGGTTCTGTGGCTGGCCTGAGGGTGCCAGATACAATGTGGGTGAAGATCTGAGCATGGATGGGGTTGTTTGAGTCTTGTGGTCAGAGTGACTAGTGGTGTGAATCACAGAGGGGAAGAATGCACAGAGAAAGATGCATGTAGGAGCTGAGAGTCTGATTCATTGTGTGTGTTTGTGGATGCATCCAGGTGCGAATCTCTAGCAGTCTGGGAGACTGTTTGGGTGCAGATCTCCAGAAGGGTGGGTTTACCCCTGAGTGCACAATGATTTAGGACACAAAGTAGCAGGTGTACCCAGCCAGCGTGTCTAGCCAGAGAGACTGGGTCCATGCTGGGTCCTAATGCTCTCCTCACCAAGCTCCCCTAGCATGTGGGATGAGGGATAAAATAACCCAGGCAGATGCTGCGTTTGAATGGCATGCTTCTGAGCCTCTAGTCATCTCCTCACGGGAACAGGGAGATCCTGGGAGGGAGGGGCATTCAAGTGGACTCAATGCCAAAGTGTCTGACAGTGAGCGTGATTGGACTGGTCATGGGAGGCTGTAAGAATCAGGGGCGACCCAGAGTTGCATGGGCTGCTTTGGCTGGGTAGTGGGCTCCCCTTCCAGGAGGACTTCTAGCTGAAGCTGGATGGATGACTGATGATCCAGTGAATCGTAGACGGGACTCCCCTTCAGACATGACTTGGACCACCTGGCTGCTGAGTTCTCTTCTACCTCCAAACATAGTATCCTAGCTGTAGAGCTGTGACCCTTTAAATGATGTGCCGAAGGTCACATGGGTACTGGGCATCATAAGGGGCCCTCTAACTCTAGAAATGAGCCACTGTTCCATGCTGACGTCCTTTGCCTTAGACACTGATCTCACCTGAGACTTCCCTCTGGGCCGTGGTACTGCCTTCTCGGCATTTTTAAGGCCTTCTTAATTGTGGATTTGTTTCCTTCCAGGGAGGGTTAGTCAATCTATAAATGCTTAGAAAACGATGTAAACAGTGTTGTCTTATGGAAAGACCCCTGGGTGGAGAGGCAGGAGACCTGGGTTTGAGGCCTTGATCAGCTCTAATATGCTGGGCTCCACCTCTCTCTGGATCCATTTTCTCATCTGTAGGGGCAGCATTTGAACCCAAGTCTCTTACTTCCAGTTGAGGGCTCTTCCCATTGCAACATGCTGCCCTTAACTTGATCAATGACAAAGGTGATGTCAGGGGACAAGCCTGGCCATAACAATAGCTAGAATGATAATAACAACAGACTAGTAGCTAGAACATTTCTATAGTGCTTTAAGATTGGATACTCATAACAGCCTTGGGAGGTAGGTGCTTTTATCACTCTTCCCTTATTTTACAGATGAGGAAACGGAGGCAAACAGAAATTAAAAGACTTTCCCAGGGCTATACAGCTAATACATGTCTGAGGCAGGATTTGAACTCAGGTCTTCCTGACTCCCAGGTCATTGTGATACCTTAGGATATCTATATCTGCTGACTGAGGACTTTGAGCATAAGGGGGCATTTCCCTGCCAATTTCATGTCTTGACTATTATAACTTCCTAAAGGACCAGGCTTTAGTTTGAAATAGGGCTAAGTAGAGAAAAATCTGCCATCTGAGAAATGGGGCTGGGTTGTGGGTGCCAGGGGAGCAGATATGGTAACCTCCTTCCAAGGTCCCTCGCCCATCCAGGATATCCAGCTGTTTCCAGTTAGAAGGCCTAGAGGGAAACTTACCATTGGAGTCCTCTGTTCCTCTGGGGATATTTGGGTTTTCTGTAGGAGACAAAATAGGAGAAGAATGTTAAGGGCCTGAGCAAAGTCCCAGAGGGGTCGAGTGAGAGCCAGTCCCTGTGGCACGGGATGAGGCCTGAAGGACCGACCTTGAGGCTTTTGGAGGCAGAGATTCCAAGGCTGTGTTGTAAAATGTACTAAGGCCTGGCTTTGTGGACATCCCACCTTGGACAGGTACCACCTCATACTTCTTGGGCCTCAGTTTCCTCATCTGAAATTAGGGAGGTTGGACTACATGATCTTGAAGGTCTCTTCTGGTGCTAAATCGATGAATCTGTCATCACACTTTCTTCTGGGAGATCTGAGGTGGACACCCAGAGTTCATTCTCCCAGGGGATTGAAAGAGATATTTGTGAGGCACTTAGCACAGTGCCTGGCACACAGTAGGTGCTATGTAAATGTTTGTATCCTTCCTACAACACTGCCTCCAAATTATCCAACTTCAAAGCTCTGTACAAATGAAAGATTATTATTTTCACTAAATTTCTGTAATAACAATAATAACAACAACAAAAATAACAGTAATAGCTAACATTTTACTATCTCTTTAAAGTTGCAAAGCACTTTATAAATGTTACTTTATCATGCTAACTCTCTTGGGAGGTGGGTGTTGTTTCTATCCCCATTTTACATATGAGAAGACTGAGACACACAGAGGATTAATCACTGGGAGGAGCCCCATGGACATCAGCCCCATCGTGGACTGGGTTCTCCTAAGAGAACACCAAGAATGATTTCACAACCTCCCTCTGCTCTGGCATTCACTCCCCCTCATTGTTGGAGTGTTCTTTTTTTGTGTGTCTAATCTGATTTTCTCATGTAGTATGTCCAGGTTATTTCTTTGGGCTTGGTCCTTTCCAGCTCCAAATCCATGACACCCATGGAGCAGAAGAGCTGGATGGTGCCCTGATGACCACCTTACTAGAATTGGGTGGGGGTACAGATACAGCCACAGCAGTCTTTCAATCCCTGGGCAAAGGGACACCTCTCAAGGCCTTCATAGGATTTAGAGTGAGAAGAGATGATCTAGTTCAATATTTCACAGTTGAGAGAGAGAGGAAATTACTTATCCAAGGTCATGCTGAGTGTAAGTAGCAGAGACAGGATTTGAACACAAATCTTCTGCTTCCAAATATAATGATCTTCTCCTTATACCTCCTATTTCCTGAGCTCCAGCTGGGCTTCTGATCCAGAGTGCCCCTCTTCAATCCCTACTTAGTGGTCTATTTTTTTTTTTTCAGATTAAGCTTTGGATCTGGAAGAAACCCTATAGATCATAGATATAGAACTGGAAGTGACTTTAGAATTTGTGTAGTCCAACCTCTCCTTTTACAAATGGGGAAACTGAGGCCTAGAGAGGATAAATTAAAGTTATATTCTATAACTTACAAGGTTGACCTTATAAGTCCAAGGTTACACAGCTAATAAGTCACACAGCCAGGATTAAAATATGAGTCATCAGATTCCAAACCCAGGGCTCTTTCTACAGTGTACAAAGCAGGTAAGCAGTCTTGGAGTCAGGAAGACTCCAGTTCAAATTTTGCCTTAGACACCAGTGACATGACCTTGGAAAAGTCACTTAACTGCCACCTGTCTCACTTTCCTCCTCTGCAAAATGGGGAATACTGGGAGAACCCAGGGGTATTGTGAGAATCAAATGAGACAACACGTGTAAAGTACTTTGCAGAACTTAAAGCGCTATATAAACTCTCGCTATTATTAATAGTATTGTGATTAGCTAATAGACGTCCATCCCAGAGTCGGCCACTTCGATCCCTGCGGCTCAGATGGGCTCCTTCCTGCACAGAAAGAGCCGGTTCTTCTAGGCACGAATGCCAGGGCTCTCCCTCCTCCATCCCCCTCCATTCCCCTCCAGCCCCCTCCAGCCCCCTTGGCGTGGGCTGGGTTCCCTACCAAATACGATGAGGCGGGTGTGGGTGTCGGTGGAGCCCAGGGGATTCTGGGCTGTGCATCGGTACATGGAGCCGTTGAGCTCGGCGGGCACTCTCTCCAGCACCAGCTCCTTCCCGTCGTGTTCTGTGCTGCCATCCAGGAGACGGCTCCCCACGCGGGTCCACGTGAACAGGGGCTCAGGGAAGACTTCGTTCTGTGGAGCGGAGGAGAGGGGATAGGCTACCGCACACATGCCAAGCTGGCGTCTATTGCTAGAGACCAAGGCGAGGGCTGGGGAGGACCCTGGCGGAGTGATCCCACTGTCCCCTTTAGCGGATGGGGTGCTGATTGGCAATTCCTCCCCCTGCCCTGGCTGCCTCGGAACCCCGAGAAGGGCTCCTGACCTGAAAGCCGTGGACCAGGATCCTCACGGTATCTCCCACTCGGGCTCTGGCGGGCGTCATCATGATTTTCGGGCCTTTGGGGGCAACTGCGGAAAAAGAGAGCAGAACAGAGTAAGGGGCAAGACACTGAACTCGTCTGTTGTACCTGGGCCAGGGCAGGGAGAGAAAGAGAGCCGGAATCTGCTCCTCCCACAAACCTGCCTCACTGTCCTTCAGCTGTTTATCACTAACCTCTGAGCTCTCGGCTGGCCTTCCTGCCTAGGGTCATGGACCATTAAGAGCTGGGAGGAGCCTTAGAATATGGAATGCCAGAGCCTAGAACTGAGGATGTCAGAGCTGGAAGGGACTTTAGAGCATAAAGTGTCAGAATGGGGACGGGGCTCAGAACCTAGACTTTCAGAGCTGGAAATATTTACCAATTATGTTAATTTCATTTCCCTACAATAGAAAGTAAGCTCCGGGAGAATAGGCACAGTTTCGTTTTAATAATTGTTCCAGGGGTGTCTCAGCTGGTACTGAGAGCTGATTGCCAAGTTTTCAGTGTGAGCATTTGCACCTCAGAAATCAGCAAGGGCTATACATCAGGGCTTGCTTTTGTGTTTTGTTGACTGTCAGGCTCAGGGGTGGGAAACCTGTGGCCTGAAAGGCCACGTGTGGCCCTCTAGGTCCTCAAGTGCGGCCCTTTGATGGAATCCAAACTTTACAGAACAAATCCCCTTAATAAAAGGATTTGTTCTGTGAAACTTGGACTGGACAAAAGGCCACACCCAAGGACCTAGAAGGCTACATGTAGTTCCCCATCCCCATTAATCTTAGGAAAGCTATGGAGAAGATGTTAAAATGCACCATTAAATGACAAAATACGTCCTACACACTTTCTGAAAATCTGGTTGTTAAACATTTACCAGCACAGCCCTGATTGTTGTCCCACTGCTTTGCGTATCTTTGTTTGCATGTTGTCTCCCTCACTAGACTGTAAGCTCATTGACTGTCTTTTGTGTCTCTGTATGTGCCCAATGCTTCGCTTAGCACAGTGCATGGTAAGTGCTTAACAAATGCCTATGGAAATGACGAATGAACAAAAGAATAAATGAATGGACATTGAATCTGGAGCTGGGAGCTTAAAGATCATCCCTTCGGGCCCTCTAATTTTTCAGATGAGGAAATTAAGGCAGCTCGCCCACGATCACAGAACTAATTCAGAGCTCAGACTAGAATTCAGATTTTATGAAGGCTGATCTTTGCATTCCACTCTTAAGTTGGGGACAAATTGCAAAAGGCATTGAATGCCAGGTTAAATAAGGTGGTATCAGAACTATGAGTTAGGAAGACTGATTTTGACTTGTCAGTGTGTGGGATAGCATGGGGGAAGGACCAGGGGGCCTAGATTTAGGGGGGAATTGGTGAGCTGGCTATCTCACTAATCCAGGTAAGGGGTGATGAAGGGCATACCTCATTCTCAGCTCCACAAAGTCCCCAAGCTGAGGGGACAATTCAGATATTTCTTACCACTCTCTGCTAATCACATCTCTCCTAGACCCCTCCTTGAGCCCCCTGCCCACCTAGGCCTGGATGTCAGCATGAATGAGTTTGGGGGAGGAATCAGGGGCCTGCCCAGGGTCAAGTGCTGTCTGGGGCCTCTCCTCAGCCCCCCATGGTGCCTGTGAGTGATGACATGGCGATCACCTGCCAATTAGCTCCTGGCAGTGGAAACTGCCTGGTTGGAGAAGATGTGGAGAGGAGCTACCCGGACAGATGGAACTGTTCCCTGGCCCCAGCCCTTTCCCCCACCATTGCCACAGTAACACACCACCAGGTCCCAGCCCCTCCCCCCCCACCCCCTGCAGGGGCCGGTATTTGGTGTTTAGGGTGCACAGTAGGGATGAGAGAGCAATATGTTCAAGATGAGCATTTCAGCTTGGTGCCTACAGCTTGGAAGAGTGGATGCACAGAAGAAGGTGCTGACAGGCTCCTCACTCCCAGCCCCAAGCCAGCTTCTTCAGTTCCCACTTTACTAGGCTTCCCACCCCCACTGCCCCCATGAGGCACCATGGAAGGAACCCTTTGAGGGCAGAGGACCTGGGTTTGAATCTTGGCTGACCTCAGATATGTAAAAGGAGAGACTTAGACCATGTGATTTCCCAGGTTTCTTCCTGTCCAACTTCAAATCCTATGGTACCAAGAATCCTGGTGGGGTCTAACTCTTGGGGCTATGTGCCTGAAGCCCACTTCCTAGAGAGGGGACACTCTGCCTGTGGCCTGGGGCTGTCTCAGGAGATGAATGGAAGTAAGGTAGGAGAGCAGGGTTTGAGGAGAGGTGGCCCAGCCATGGGCTCTGTCAGCTAGACCCCACCACTGAGAGCTGAGACGGGTGGCCACTGCTCTTGGTGGGAGAAAAGTCTGCACCTGCCTATGCTCCAGTCAGGTCTGGGGACACCTATGCCAGCCTCCCAGGCTTCCCACGGCTTTACTCCCCAAGCTAGTCTTATCACCCAGGCAATGGTCCCCTGGGTTTGATCTGCTCTCTGCCTGTCATTGGGATCAGCTGTTTGTGAGCCAGGCCCCGTAAGGATGCATAGGGGAAAGAAGGGTCAGCTTTTCAGTAAGTGGAAGCCTCAGATGGGCTGAGCTGCAGGATGTGGGGAGGGGACTCACCTGGGTCCAAAGTATCATTGGACATGTGTGCTTAAAGGCCTTAGAATATATAATGTCAGAGCTGAGAGGGCCTTAGAACACAGAATGTCAGAGCTGGGAGGGCCTTAGAACACAGAATGTCAGAGCTGGGAGGGACCTTAGAACACACAATGTCAGAGCTGGGAGGGACCTTAGAACACACAATGTCAGAGCCTTTAGGACTTGGCTCAAGATCTACCTCATGGAGGAGGCCTTGCCTGGTGCTCCCAGCTGCCCATGTCAGACTTTCCTTTTAAAGCTACCTTCCATCCATCCTATATTTATTTTGTATGCTCTGATTTATATGTCCTCCCACCTTTGTCCCTTACTCGAATAGAAGCTTCTTGAGGGCAAGGACTTGTATCTCTGGCATAGCCTTGCATACAACAAGTGCTTAATGAATGCTTGTTGATTGATTAACTATCGGGAACCATGATTAGAATGCAGAATGTTAAAATTCAAAAGAACCTCAGAAAGAATACAGCTCATCTCTCATTTGACAGATTAGGATGCTGAAATCTAGAGAGGGAAAGTCATTTGCTGAACAACACACAGTAAATCATTGGCAAAGCCAGGAGGAGCCCCTTCCACTGGACCACACTGTCTGATTTTAGCCTCACCAGATCACATTCTTGCCCATGAAGCATCACTGCAGTGGTACCAAGTACTTCTGCCTGGGCACAATGTCCTCCTCTCTTCTCCTTCTCCTGTTCCTCACATTCTGCGTTTGGAGCTAAGATGCCCATGAGAACCCATGGCCTCCTCAGACACTCTCAAGGGGAGGGGAACCTGCAGCCTCGTGGCCACATGTGGTCCTCGAGGTCCTAATGGGAGGCCCTTGGAATCCAAACTTCGCAGAACAAATCTCTTTAATAAAAGGATTTGCTCTGTAAAACTTGGACTCACTCAAAAGGCCGAATCCAAGTTCCTAGACATGTGGCCTTGAGGCTGCAGGTTCCCCACTCCTGTGTCGATAAAAGAGGGCCAGTAAAGACATACTATCTTACAAAAGTCTTGGGGCCTGGGGTACAGAAGAAGGGACCAGGCAGGCCTGATTTCCCACTATTCATTAGTACCTGGAGTCTGCTTCTCCTGAGATGGGATTCCATTAAGCAGACCCAGGACAGGGAAAGGGAACTGGAGAAACAATATAGTTTGGTAGCCTCCTGGGCATGGCCAATTTAATTTAGACAGAGCGAGACCAGAGACGATTAATTAAAACCATAAGCAAGACATGTGAGTTTCTATACAGGGAGGAAGAAAGGCGTTGGAGGGAGAAGACGTGTCTACAGCATGTGTGTGTTTGTGATGGAAGGAGGTGGTGAGGAAGGAGAGGTGGGCACGGAGGACAAAGACGTTGCCATTACCTCGGATGGATTTGCAGATCTGAAGCGTGCTTGGAGGCAAGGAATCGTGGAGCTAGTACTGACCTCGGAGGAAGGAGACCTGGGTCTGGTCCTGTTTCTGCTCCTCACTGCACAACCTTGGGAGTCTCAGACAACCTTTCTGAGCTGCAGGTGCTGTTCTTAAGTGGGCAGGTGATGGCAGATAGTTTCTGAGGCCTATTGGAACTCTGACATTTTATGTTCTGATTCTCCACCTAGTTTGATATTTTGTGTTCTAAGGCCTCCCTCAGCTCTGACATTCTATATTCTAAGGGCCCTCCCACTTCTGACATTCTGTGTTCTAAGGTCCTTCCCAGCCCTGACATTCTGTGTTCTAAGGGTTCTCCTACCTCTAATATTCTACACTCTAAGGTCCTTCCCAGCTCTGACATTCTATGTTCTAAGGCCTCTCCTAGCTCTGATATTCTAGGTCTCATGGTCCTTCCAAGTTCTGACATTCTATCTTTTAAAGGCTGTCCCATCTCTGACATTGTATGTTCTAAAACCCATTTTAGAGCTGACGTTCTATGAGCCGTGGAGGGGGATGGTATCCAGCTATTCTCAGATATTCTGCTGGTTGTAGGATTTGCCAGGCCATTTGTTCAGGCTGTGCTGAGGAAGCTCCCTGGGGGAGGGAAGGAGTAGGGGAGGGGATAGTTTCGAACTGCTTCCTGCAGAAAGCACATAGGTACTCTTGGCTTCCTGGGATTTTCTGAAAGAACCCTAGCTTCCTGGGCCATGGCTCTTGCACTGTAATCTCTAGTATGCTGGTTGGGGCCAGCAGAAGGACTGATGTATGTATGTATGTGGACATGTATATAGTATGTATGTACATGCACATATGTGTAAATGTGTGTGTATCTGTGTGCAAGTGTGAGTGTGTGTGTGAGTAAGGGGGTGTGCAGTGTCCCCTGAGAAAGGAAGGGCCTGGTAGGGAAGAGAGGGCAAAGAGTGGGAATGGATGGGGCTCGTGGCTCTCTGTCTACCACAGTTTTCCTATGTGGATAATTTGGGAACCGATGGAGGTT